TCAATGGTCGTCACCGTCTTTATAGTTGGGTTGGCTATAGATACTTTTTGTATCTGAAATTTTTGCAATTGCAAAGCTCAACAATGTTTTCAACTTGTTTATATATATATATATTTTTGTTCTGTATTAAATCCAACTTATTCGTTATTTTTCCGAATAAAATGATGACGATGATTTACTTTTATGTGATTTCGTTTAAGGATTTACTCTGGAAATCAAATGTGGCTAGCGTGTACTTATGTGTGGTGCAGTAACTCTTGCACTTTCTTGATAATCCTTCGGTCGATTTGTCTGTTTGTGCTTCTGTTCAAGGATGCATATATGGCATCCATGCATGAGTGTCTCTCTGTCTGTCTGTATGTCTGTCAGTTAATCTGTTTGATACATAACCTTGAATGTGGCTTGTTGTTTTCATTGTTTTTGTTATTACTATTGTTGGTATTGTTTTGTTTGTGTATATTTGTTTATATTTTCTATTTATTCTATTTAAAGAGAGTGCAATTTAGCTGCAGTATCTGTTAGCTGGTGGCATTCATTTATGGAATTCCACTTGCAGCGGTTCGCTATATGCTTAAGAATGTTAACGGATAAATGTCTTTATGTGTGTATAATAAAACGATTTTTGTTTTAGTTTCCAACAAACAGATTTCTGTTCATAAATTCTATTTCATTTTTTTTATTCCATTTCTAACTGCTTTGTTATGGCTGATATTGATAATGTGACAAGAAATGTCTAAATTTAAAGTGTGCAAAAATTTTATAGAAGTTGGCGCAGTTTCATAATTTTTGTCAAAATTGAGAGTAACCATTGAGAGCAATTTGTCATTTTGATGAAGTGAAATTAATTTGCATTGGTTTTATAATTCAATGATCTATGATTTTTTTTTACAGTATAAAAAAATGATCCGATGCGCTAAACTAATTATCAAAATTTTTAATATATTTAAAATATAATATATTTAAAAATGAAAATAAATTGACTGAAGCCTATTGTTTGCTACAATAAAATAGTTGTATTACTTATACGATTATATCCATGGTTGCAGAAATGTGGCGTTGATCCGATTTGTATGAAATTTTTTAAAACCAACAGATAATATCTAAACATACTGTGTCATTAATAATATAGTAAATTTCTTTTTGAAATTTTGACATTCAAAATGATTTATTAAGATTTTCTAGAAAAATTTTGCTACTTTCTTATTTTCCGATTCTTTTTCTTTTCTTTATGTTTTCTTATTACTGTTAACTGGCTCTTTAAACTTTGTTTATTTTATTTTTATATATATATAAACTAGGTTACTTTTCCAAATAAAATGATAACGATGATTTACTTTTATGCGATTACGTTTAAGGATTTACCTTAGAAATCTAATCTGATTGCTTGTATGAGTATAGTATGGGGACTTACTTCGTAATATGTATGATTTTACTTTAGAGGGCAAATTAAATGCTGTATTTCATTTTCAATGTTTGATTAAATTATTTTATGACACTTTAAACATATGTTTATATTACGTGGTTAACCAACTTCATTCTTATTTAAACATTATGTGCCTGTGTGAACACAAGATATTAGAGTAATGCTGTATATCGTTTGATCTTTTACCTTAATGTAAAAATATCTCTTAGTGGATTACATATACTTTATCCTAAAAGAATATATTTGGTGAAAATATTTGAAGAACTTCTATTCGCTTATTTTCTTTCCTAAGAAAAATGCAATTGAGTTGAAAAATATTTGCATATATATTCTAAAACATTGGCAAGGCATTCATTCATCAAAATTGCTATATATATTATATATCTGAGAAAATATTTGTCATTAATTTTTCTACTTAAACCGGAAAACTTTCTTTGTAAAGGACGAATGAAGTTCATGTACGAAACATTGAAACAAACCAAAAGCATTTTGCTTTGTATTTTTTTTTCGTATTGTTTTGGTTTATTTATTTAAACCTTAATACTACTTGGCTCAACGTTTTCTTTCATTCAACAAAATGCACTAAAACGTCAAACGGAAGAAATATGTTGCAAACGTCTTGTTGCACATATCCCTGCGCTGCTTGGCTCTGTTCTGTGAGTTCTACGCTTGTAGAAGATTTGCAGTTGTAGTAACTCCAATCTACAATACTCCAATACTTCACTGCTTGCATGCATAGTCTTGTGCGTTGACCCTCAAATTCTCGTGAGAGTAAATGTACGCTATCTGCAAGCAACATAAATTCCTTCTACTCCTTTAAAATAGTTAAATGTGAAAATAAGTTTTCGAATGCAAAAATCAGCAGCAATATTACGGTGCAACATGCTGTTTTTGTTATATGTGCTTGCATCAATTCTTCTATTCTTTTCTTGGATTATTTTTTCGGGATAATGTCAACGTTGATGAAAAGGCGTCAGCTTGTCAAAATCAAGTTATATAACTTTTTAAAACAATTCTATTAAAACTTTTGAGCTTAAAATATCTTCGTAACTTAGTAGTGAAAAGTTACATAAATATAAAGCTATTTTTAACAACATCACCGCAATAGCTGCTGAGAGATTATGCTAATAAATTTAATTTGAAATCGTTTAGAAGAAATTAAAGCCTAGAATTTTTCCTAAAGTTTTTTTTTGTGGTCATATATCAAAAATATTTAATTTCACTGGCTTAACTTTTATGATAATTATATAAATCTTGCACAATGTGTATGATTATTCGTTTTTATACTTCCTTGACTTGACTATCTGCTCTCTATTCTTTGTCTTTTTTCCTATGCCCAACAAATTAATTTGTAAATGAAAGGAAACGTATAAAACTAATTTTCTGCTTCTGATTTCAAATTAAACGAATGAATTTGTTTTTATCTTCTGCACAAAACATATAATTTATTCTGTGCGTTGAGTGATTTTGTTGTGTTGAGGCTGTGATACAAAAGTTTAATGAGCTTTTGTGGCATTTAAAAGATATATGTGCCACGTGCTGTTTATTGTCTTACTAACACAAAAATAAAACAATTTCAGAATCAATAACTTAAATAATTTAAATTATTGATTCTAATTAAATTAAAACACTCTATAGAGCTGAGGAGTGTATTTGATTGGCAGTGTTTAACTGTGATAGCCGAGGAAGTTCTCAATGGGTTCTTTGCTAATAGCTGAAGCAAAGCAGTTTTTTATTTTAAGTAGCATTTCTAGTTGCAGTAACATTGAAAGTAACATTAACATAACTAAAAATTGAAATGTATTTTATGAAGTAATTATATGACTCTAAAATCTTTAACCCCCCACATAATACCTATATGTAATTTGTAAAGTTTACTTCTTTGATAGTAAAAAGTAAGTGCGTCGTATAAAATAAAGTATAATGAATAAGTTTTTCAAACATTTTAGTACTGAACTCCTAATTGTGCCAGCAGCAATGGTACTTAGAAAACATCTTTTAAGTTCTTCACTGAATTGTTTTCTTTTGGTTTTGCTCAAACAATGACACTAAATTAAAACTAACAACGCCTTAAAGTATGCATTAAATTGTTGCCAATTTTTCTGCCTTATTTGTTGCCAACTTAGTACTTGAACATTTTTTCCACTTCTATCCTTTAAATTATTTAAATCATTATGTTTATTATTATATAATCGACTTTATCTTTTTATATATCCTTTGTATTATATAACACTTTCTACTGCTATTAACTTTTGAATTAAGTTAAGCATTGCTTGTATGCGTGATAAAGTGAAAGAGTTGATTTTATACATTGCGATATTTTCTATGTATATTATACATTATCCTAATATATAATGTTGAACATTTTTTATTCATTTTAAATTAATTTAACTGTAGATCATATTAACTATTGAACATATTCTAGTTGAAAACTAATTGTGACGTATCTTTTTATAAATGCTTAAAGTTTCCATGTTATGTAAAAGTTGTGGTTTTTGTTATAGACAATATAATACTTAATTTAAATTATTAAATAATATTTGTTACAATGTATGAAGTTAGGTAATTCATTACATTATTTCACATGTTCAATGAGTTAAGTTCAAATTTATTAATTTGCAACCGAAACCACATTTATTTATTTGTATAAAGTATTTATTACACAAGTTTAAAATATCTTAAAATTGTTTGTTACAGCATAGAAAATTTCATTGAAAGGATATATGGATATGTATTCCAAACATACCTTTATGAGTGCTTAACTTTTGGATAAAAAATTATTATTGCAATTCTATCATAAACCTTTTTTTTTTGAATTCTGAATTTATAATGTTAAACTTCTAACAATTTGTAGGAGCAAAAATGACTCAATTTCCATATTCTCGAACTTTTGGTATTATTTAAGAATGTCGTTTCTTTGACACATTCAAAGGAATCAAAGAATAAAATGACTTATAAACTATTCTTCAATTTTGTGTACCACTAATACTTAAATTGAATTTGTAACTTAAAAAAATTTATAAGAACCTTTATTTGCTCATCAAATTACAAAATAAAAAAGATATTAAATATTTTTATGAAAAAAATGCTTACAGCATTTCCTAAAGTAATTAAAACATACTCTACTGAATAGACATATTACGTATAAATTGGATACATATCAATTTTGCATTAAAACTACTCCACACATGCAAATTTTCAACGATTTAGTTATAACAAAATAAGCAATAGTCAAAGTGCTAGGTGGAAGCACCAAAAATGTATCAATTAAGTGACAAAGACGAATCCAGAAAATAAAATAATAAAACAGCGCCAAAGATGAGCAAGGATACTAGGACTAAAATAAATTTTTAATTGAATATACTTTAAGTTAGCGTTCAGGGTATAGTTAAAATATATAATTTTGATAAAATCAACACAGTTTTTTTTTCTACTATACTGCAACTATATTATGTTATAGCTTTGAATTACCTTCGGAACAATTTTATTTATCAACTTCATTCTGTCATAAGTTTAGTTTTATTTTACCGAATTTTACCGAATTAATTAATTGAATTTTATTACTTTATGTTTTCAGTGCTAAGCAAGGGCCAAGGGGAAACATGCCGTTATCGTTTTCTTGGCAAACACGGTGGCTACTGTTGGATTGTAACTCAAGCTACTATAGTCTACGACAAATTAAAACCGCAGAGTGTTGTTTGTGTTAATTATGTCATTAGGTAAGTCGATATAAGTTTCCAATTTATTAGAATTACTAAACCTAAATATGGTTAATGAGTTGAATTCAAAAAGGATAAATAAAAGCATAATTTGCTTTTGCAAATATAAGCTCTAAAATATATTATGCACTCAAAGCTAAATTTTAGTTATTTTTTTTAATATAATATTTATAATACATTTATTTAATTAAAACATTATTGACTAGTCAAACCAGAAAAGCCAAACTCCCATTAAATATTTATATAATTTGTTAATTTTGTGTTTTGTTAAATAATAGAATGTACAGTTGAATTTGTAATTTTTAAATATTTAATTAGAAATTAAATAAATTATCTAAATCTGAAAGAATTTGTCATATGTGTATATTCATATTTTTACAGTGTAATATGCCATTTTTGAATACACTGCAAAAAAGTTTGCTTCATTGAACTGTAATCAAAAATGATTTATCTCAAAATTGATGTACGCGTGTGTGCCTTCGTGTTTATTTAAATGATTATTTATTTATTTATTTTTTTTTTGCAACGCAATTATTGTATAAAATTTACTACAATCGTGCTGGGTTTCAGCAGATAATTTTACGTAAAATCCCACAGAATAACACATGTGTACACGCATTTATGTAATATGTAGGTGGGTGATGTGGAATACTTTTCATATTATTGTCATAAATTTTGACATCAAAAGCTGTGCGCAATTGTCAATTTGATTTGGTTTGTTAATTTTTCTCTCAAAATGTGATGATGATTATTGTTCGTGTGTCTAATGCTGCTGGCACCAGCAGTGTAAAATTACAATGATTTTCAATCAATCAACAAAATTCAGAAAAAATATTTCAAATCAAATTTTTAAAAAGGTATTCCGTCCTTTAGATAGCTTAGTAGACATTTTGAATTTAAGATCTAGAAACTTTTTTCCATAATGATTTTTTATTCCATTGTATATTTTAACTTTTCTGTGTCAATTTTTCATGAAGTCACGTTTTTAACAAAGCTAAAAAATTTTAGTATTAACTCTTAGATTTTACTGTTTTTATAAAAAGATTGAATGAAGAAATTTGCGATGCAAAAGAAATTGAAATTAATTCGTAACTACGTGACGTATGAGTAACACAATTCCTACGCGGTTGTGTAATTAAAAGCCGAATTCAAAATTCAAACTATATTATTATATTGAAGTATTAGATATTCAGACTTTAAATAGATTAGGATTTCTTTAGGTTACATTATAACGTATTTTCCTTGTTATTTTTTGAACGCGTGAAATGTTATGTTTAGACAGCTAAATTTCCTTAATTTCGTAAAAATGAAATTAAGTTAAATTCGAAAGTGGTCATACTGCCCCAAATTAAGGAAATCATATGTTTTTTGTTTACAATTCGAAAACGTCATTTATATCTGGGAAACTTTAAAAGTTGATTATTAAAACAATAAAGGATGACGTTCAATAGTTTTATTAGCTTTAATGGATTTCAAGTATATGAAACTCTATTTTAAATTAATAACAGTTACAGTTCTTTCTTTATATTCAAATTTAAAAATTTGCACTACTTTCAAAATATTTTCCCGGTTTTATTAAAGTCAACATTTATTTTAAAAAAATATAATTTTTTCTTTATCTAATCTTTATCTTTTCCTTTAAATTTTTCTGATGCATAGTTGCATTTAAAATGTCCGTTAATTTCAGCCTTCGTCTTAACGAAGGTAAGGCAAATTTCGTTAATTTCGTTCTAACCTCAAAATTGAATTTTGTATGGAAAAACGACTTAATTTCGCTGAAACGAAGATGAAATTAAGATTTCTGCGAAATTAAGGTGTGTCTGAACATAGTATAAATGTTAAATTAGAAAACCATTATTTTGAAATAAGCATAAGCATTGTGATAAATTTTTTTTTTATATATTCTAAAATCAAATATGTTACTTTATTGAAATATGCTTGACTATAACGTTTTTTTTTCATTTGAGTTATATAAGCACACTTCAGTATTTATTTAAATTGTCGGATGGAATAGCTTTACATATTGTCTATTTCAGTAAAAATGTCTTTCAAAATTTCTGTTTCAGAAACAATATGCATTATATTATTATTTCTTATGAATTGTGCAAATATGTTCATTCGATTGTATAAATTAATATTTACACTTCAAAGATTTTAAATAAAAAATCAATATTCACATTATTGAAAAGTATACACACATATGTGTTTAGTCAAGAGCTTGATTCTCTGATTTTATTAAGAAATAAGAAATTACTGCTTGGGTTGTATAAAAAAGGCTTATCACCACAGGGTTTTGAACATATCTCAATAAATCTCTTTTCTTTTTTTACAGCTAAGGTAAGTAGAATATTTTTTTTTTAATAACAATATGTATTATCAAAAGTTTAGCAATGAGTGCATAAAATGTTGATTAGAAATTAATTTGTATATTTTTTTTAAAGAAAATTTAATTGTCAACACGAGATTTTAGGTATTATTGTTATATATATGTTAAATATTTAAAGTTTTCTTAGTGTTGCCGAGAAAGCTACGCTTTCTTGTAATGCCATAATGACAAGGAAGCTATTTTTAAAATTTAGAGGGTTTTCGAAGTACAGAAAAGACAAGGACAAAATTTTTGTTAATTTATTAAAATTTGGCTGACCATACAACGGTGTTTCCGAGTATTGAAAAGTACTCATCATCAGTGGTCTTAGAAAATAATTGATTTGCTAAGTTAGTTTATAGTTGGTATATAATTTGTTCAATATCTTAATACTAGCAACAGTCTAGTTTGTCGATAGGGGTACGACTTAACTAAAAGATACATTACGTATCAATTCTTTTATACTTTACTAAATCTATTTTAAGTTTGTTTAGTGTGATTTTTTCCACGTGTTTTTTTATACTTGTTAATAACACGCAGACGTGTCAGGGACGACTTCATAAGTCACTAAAATTTAATCAATTGCAATTAACGCCAGCTGCGTTTTCAATGTCAACATTTTTTGACTGCTGCTTTCGTCATTTTTCAATTAATGAAAAATTGAATTTTTGTCTAGGAATATACACGCTTTTTCTATAGAATCATTAATAAAAATGTAAGTACTGGCACTGAGTGTAGATACTATATAACACATGCTACTTTTATTTGTTGAATAAAATGTTCTTTATAAATAACTCTCTTTTTTTGGGAATGTTTGTTGAAATACCACCGATGGTGCCACTGAGTTATACGTAATCTACGTTCTACTTAAATATTTTTTTAATAAAATAATTTTTAAAAGATATATATATTCTAAAAGATATGTTTGAAACGTATAAATGAAATTTATTATTCACTTGCCACAAGTTAGAATGAATTTCTATTTGTTCTTCATTTATATTACGTGTATAATTGTTGTAGTTATTTTTAATTTATAGAAGTTGTGTAAAATAATCTCAATTATAGGTAATAATTGTTTTTTCCAAGTACTGGTACTGGTATAGTGCTTTAAATATATTATTTACTGCTACTATTATCTACCATGCAGAAGCTACAAGCTGCTCAAAGTCAGGCTCAAAGACTACAAAGTGCCATGGTACAGCCGCACGAATGACATACTAAGAGACATTAGAATAGATCCGGTTAAAAAATACATAAGAGACAGAGCCCTGAAGCTATATGCGAAAACAGACAGGCTGTCCTACTTAGCACTATCAAATCTTAGAGTAATGACTAACCGCACGGTGCGATACGTAGATCTTAGATCAGTCATTGAATAATCACGAAGCTTATGAGGAATACACAAATTAGTCAGTGAGATGGGTGGCTTAGATGCTATATGCTATAACTATATTGGCATAGTACTTTAAATACATTATTTAAATTTCTTATATTGAAGAAGTCTTTTATTACCTATTCTAATATTACTCATTAAAAATAATATATTATGTTAATAGTAGCATTTTAATTCGTCGTACTAAAGCCCTCATTCCTTAGAATTATCTGATGCTTGCTAAAAACATAAGGAAGCATTTGCGCAACGCAGCCTTGACTCAGTGTCAGTTAACTTTTACGTCATTCTATATTTTTCTGTTTGCTATTATAAAAAGCATATTCAATATATTATATAGCACGTAAACAGCTAATATGTACGCAAATTTAAAAGCAGTCGTAGGTTCTCATTTTACTCATATTTACATTCGTTCTCAATGCATTCGAGAGAATATCTTAGAAGAACCAATTGCATGTTTAGTCGCAATAGCATGCAATGTTCTAAATTGCATTGTACGAAATGCACTCTCGAAATAACGAGTCCATTGGCCTGTTTGAATTATAAATCTCACTGATTTGTTTATTCATTTGGCATTTTTTCATTAAAAAAGGTGTGTCATTTTAAAATAGTTTAATTGTTCAAATGTGAGCACTCTGACGTATAACATATTGTACAATGTATACACAATTTCAATTGAATAGTTTTATTTATTGCATATAAGCTGAAATATAAATGCAAAAACATTGCCAACAAATGAATAAAAAAATAATGTATGTTTGCATTGCTGTATTGTTTTAGAATTTTCTAGAGACTAATGGTCTGGCCTTGCTGCGTATCTTTTTGCCTTAATGACGCGTATAAGTGATTTTTGGGTGATTATTGGGTATGTAAGGTATTTATAATAACAGCGTAATTTATAATATATTTTCTTTCCATACAATTGAGTCAAAAATGATCCCGAATTTATAAATACCAACACTCTTAGAAAACCCTTTTCTAAGTCAATAATACTACGTTTGTGTTAAGCCCACAAGTTTAAGTAGTTCTTAATTTTTTTTTTTAATTTTGTTATTGTATATATTTTTATAGTTGATTAGTAGTGATTGATTATTTTATTCTCAGTACATATGTTTTGTAAATCCTATTGCATTTTCGTTCTAAATTAAAGCTACGTACAACAGAAGTCAGTTTGCTCGAAGCTTGCTCAGATTTAGATTTATCTCTGAACATCTGAACATATGCCAACGATATTTTTAATATAACAAGT